TTTTTTGCGTATACATGGAAAATTGTGCTATAAAATGAGACGTTTAAGGTGCAAAAAAGTAAGTAAAACAAAATTAGTATGATGCGTTTTACTTCACAAAATGTTTTGACCCAGTTTTTGCAACTAAAACTTTTGCTAGATTTCTCTGTGTTGATACAAATGGAGTCACTCTAATGTGTCCATATCAGTGTGATTGGAAATAAAAAGGTGTTCTTTTAATTCACACAGCAAACAGTCCAAAATGCGACAAACGCCGTTATCAATCAATTTGCACTTCTTATCAAGCGCTCTTTCCCGCATTCTACCGCTCACACCCACACACCTATATTGAATGCCTCCCGGCTTACTCACCCATTCATATGTTTATACACAAGCGATGTACTATACAATTTTTTGCAAATACCTACTGATATGAATTAAGATTATTTTAGCATTGCCAGGTTATAAGTGAGTGAACCCACTTATACAGAGTCTAAGCTGATCTATCACTAGCCGATCCAGGATTTGTTGTTGGGGATTTTCGAAAAAATTCACACAATATTTAATCATATTCTTTAAAGCATCTACTAAAAATAGAAACCTGAAGACTTTTTTTACTGGAAATTTAATAATTGAATTTTTCGAGCGGAAAAACCATGTTTACCAACTACCATTGTTTTATAAACAATAAAATTAGTACCTTCGTAAATCAAGAATTTTTTCACTGTTTCGAATGGAGATTATTTTGAGCTCTTTATTCCTGATAGTTAAAGTTCACTTCTACAATGTGTTCGCTCTATTGAGAGAGGAATGTGTTTACAAATAAGAAAATAATTCCCCGTTTATACGGCAACATTGGCCCATGGAAACATATTTGTTTGCGAATTAGGCGTTTGTGTAAACGTAGCAGCACTCACCTGTGTGTCATTCAGTATCTCCAAGTGCTCTCCCTTCCGGAAGCTCAAGTCTTCGTCGGTGCGGGCGTCGTAGTCGTAGAGGGCGACGAATATCTTGGCGTTGGCGCTGGCCGTGTCGCTCTCCGGGATCTGGGGAACCGGACGGATCTGCTCTGGCGGCTGTCCGGCGTGCGGAGGCATTGGAATCTGGGGCACACCGATAGGCGGCGGGTCATCCAGTTTGACGCGTTCGGCGGGCTTGTCGATTGGTTCGCCCTTCTGAGTGGTGAGGCAGTTGCCCATTGTTGGATGAGTTACTTCTGCTGGCGGAGCGAGAGTTAAATGCAATCAATGGAAGCCAAATTGCAGCGATTGCGTTTACTGTTACTTTCACTGTTTGTTTATTGTTTGTTCGCTGCGAGATCGGTGCTTGGGTGTTGGCACTAATCGCCGCTCTCACTTGATCCCCTCTCCCGCTCCCGCTTCCACTCCTCTTACAATTTGTGCAAGTTGCTGTCGCGTTTTCGCTCAACTCTCTGTGTTTCAATGAGCACCAACTAAATTAAATGCTTGCCCACGACCAAGCGTGTCCCTGTGTGTGTGCGTGCGTGAGTGTTTTCTCACTTTTATCTACATTCGCTCGCGTAGGTGAGTGTACCTTGTGGATGTGTGGGTGTGTGTGATGCTGGAGCTGCTGTCAAACAACAAAAGCTACAGGATGACGTCGACGGGGGCCGCGAAAACAGTTGGAAATTGGCGATTAAACGGGTGACTCGCGCGTGCACTATTATTTAGCAGGCCTGGCATCCGCGTTTACATTTTTAAGTTAGTTATCGCCCTCTTTTCCCATCGCGTTGCAAAGAGACAATGTGACCGTTTTGTGCAAGGGAAAAATACCTTAAGACAGAAATATACTAAGCTACTGTATTTAAAATCTGTAAAATACTGGTTAAATACCAGAATATGCATAATACTTAAAAAGAGGGACCAGTTTCTACTATTACAGACCTTTCGACATTCTGACGATATTTCGTGATGATACTTCGTTTTCCGATGTTTCGATGTTTGACCTCAAAGGTCAATGAGAAAAATAGGATAATAAGAAGGGATTCTTATTCAGTTGAAGTATTACATTAATCGGAATATGTATTTCACTGGCGCATACTTTCACATTTGGCTTAATTGAACATTTATTACAATAAGAAAATATTAAATAAATACACAATCGTCAGAAAAAATGTTTAGTATATTATTGTTAAGATAAGATGTTTTTAATGTTTTGCCTGCTTTTGATAAAGATAATTGAAGTCTGGAATTAACTTTTATAGCACAAACTAACGAAAAGAACATATAAAACATGATCCGCTTGAAAAATCCAAATTCAAGGAAAATCTAGTACAACAACATACCGATATTTTTTCTAATTTGACAACCCTACTGTTTTGTCGCACTATCGCTCAACGGTCACACTGCGTGCATGGCGTCAATTTGAAAACAACGGAACTTGAAAAATATCACCGCGTCCTTTGCAGCGTGCTCTGTTTGCAGCTTGATTATTGTGGATATAATAAGGATTTTTAATAGAAATTTGTTTTGAATCTAGGGATCCAGTGTGCAGGCAGTCCCTGCACGTGAAACTCTATCCACACATAAAAGAGCAAATCGAAAATGGCGCTTTCCGCCTTGGCGTCCTTTGATGATTTGCGACGCTGCATGCAAGTGCTGACCGATGGAACTGCGGAGGAGGGTGAGTAAAGTAGCCCCAAGCGGTGCGAGTGATGAATCCCTACAACTGTGTTTTCCAATCCAGAGTTCCTACGGTTTCTGCGCATGTTCGAGCAGTATCACGAAAAGTGCGCGGGCTACGCAGCCGAGACGGCCAGGATCCAAAATGAGCTGGATAAGTCGCTGACCAAGATGGGCGACCTGGAGGGCAAGCTCTTCCATGCGCGCCGCATCATCGACATGGAAATAAAGGCGCGTCGCCAGGCGGAGCACGAACGCGATGCTATGGAGGGAAAGATAATGGCTGTGGCGGATTTGCTGCGCCACGAGCGCAATCTAAACAACGAGACCCGCGACAAGCTGGCCTTCCTTCACACACTGCCCTCCTCGCGAAAGCGCAAATCCCTCAACACCGTGCGGGAAGACAAGTCCTATGGCGACATCAACTCCACCGGGTCACTGCTGTCCGATCTGTCCATAACCCACTCCGAGGACGACTTCCTCGACGTGCGCACATCAAAGTCTTGGCGGGAGCATCGACCTTCGCTGCCCAAGAATCCGATTCCTTGTGTGGGTAACAAGAGATCCCGTCTGAGCACGGGTCTCAACGGCAGTATGTCGGGGAATACCCCAACCACCAGTAAGTCCCGGCGCTCTGGCGTCGGCATTGGAGTGGAGCAGCATACTGTGGACGTGGGTCAGGGCGCTGAGCGCTTTTGTGCCACCACTAAGGTCACCATACCCCAGGACGGGCAGGGCGTAATCAGGGCAGAGTCGACTATTGAGTCGCTGCCAGTGATTGGCGGTCATGAGAGGATCTGCGAGGGCCTGTCCTCGACGCCACGTCGATCGGTCCTGAAGGAGCCCACTGCACCGCCGCTAACACCGGTGAATGCAATGGCGCCTCATGTGGCCGCCGAATGCGGAACTCCTCTGCAGCACCGTCCGCTCATGAGGAGTCACACATTCAGCCAGAAGACGTTCTTGCGCGGCGACAATTGTGTTCAGTGCCAGAAACGGTAGGCATAGAGGGTTTTTTAATGTACGTATAGTCCTCATTGATTAAATATTGTACTTTTTCTAGCATTCGGTTTGGGGCCGTTGGCCTGAGATGTCGGGATTGCCCGGTGCGCTGTCACATAGATTGTCGGTATCTGCTTACTGTTAGCTGTGTACCGCAGACGGGAACGCCCACAACCAAGACTATGACTGGGTATGTCACCGACTTTGCCCCGTCCATTGCACCCATGATTCCGGCCCTTGTTGTGCACTGTGTTAATGAGATCGAGGCCCGCGGTCTCACTGAGGTGGGCCTCTATCGCCTGTCCTCGTCCGAGAGGGAGTACAAGGCCCTCAAGGAGCAGTTCCTGCGCGGCAAGGCCACTCCTCATCTGGGCAACACAGACATCTATGTGCTGTGCTGTTGTGTGAAGGATTTTTTGAGGTCCCTTACCGAGCCTCTGATTCCGACCAGCCAGTGGAAGGATTTCGCCAATGCTGTGCAGAATCCCGATACCAAAACGTCCCAGGATATGCTGTATAAGTCGGTGAAGCAGCTGCCACAAGCCAATCGGGATACGTTGGCCTTCCTTATACTGCATTTCCAACGCATTGCTCAGTGCCCAGTGGTACTGATGCCTATTGATAATATCTCGCTCATCTTTGGCCCCACAATTGTGGGCTACTCCACGCCTGATCCCGACCAGCACGCGATCTATACGGAGGTCTTCACACAGAAACAGGTGATGAAGGCGCTGCTCGAGTTGCCCGTTTCGTTTTGGGAGCAGTACATTGTCATAGATCCCACGCGAACGCCGGCAACAGTCATCAAGCGAGTCCCCAGCAGCAAACATGACTTGTTGTCGCTATATGGTAGGTAATACACCACTTATACGATACCTTATCTAAACTATCTTCCCTTCAGCCACTCCCTTCAAAGGAGGCACCATAAAAAAGCGAAAGTTTTATGGCACGCCGCCGGCATCTGCCCACAAGAAATAACCAGCCTTTCCTTGTTGGAAAGCATTTGACGTGTTACTTAAGTTTACTTCAAGTATTTGCAGTTTTTGTTTCCGGCCAACTATTCCCGAGCTGTATTTATATTTGTACCCAACTAACACCGCCTATTAAAAGTTTTTCTTTATAATTAATTCGTTCGATTATATACTGAAGCACTTTATCCGTACTAACACAAGTATACTCACTTTGAGAAATAAAGTAAAATATGCATTTGAAAAGCAAAGAGAACAATGAACAACTAGATTAATGAATGAAAATAATATAAGGGTTTTTTAATTCCCAAAATATGACTTTTGGTTTTATTTTTTGGTTAATATTTTTTGTTTAGAAAATATTTTTGACGCAAATTGATTGGTTTTTCAATCAAGATCATAAACATGTCAACCATTTCCGCTTCTAAGTACTTTAAGCCATATTACCATATTTTTAACACATAGAAAGGGGGATATTTCGTGTGTATTTACCATTAATATTACAAACAACTAATAGTAAAAATTAGATAAATTATGGGAAGTACACCTTATCTGAAACCAAAACACTCTCGTCCATTGATACATGCAAAATAATTATCGGAGCAGCACAGAAAAGCCCATGACTTCAGCACTTACACAGCTATCGTCATATCATCAACAAACTGGTTTCGACGGCTCCCGTGATAATACCCTTAACCACGACATGAAGCCGCCAGTCTGTTAATCGCAACCCATTCGGAATGTTCGAAGCGCATCAGAATCTATCTCTCCTGCTGGTGATTCTCCTCTCAGTGGCGTTCGCCAGTTGCTTTGGATCATCGAACGCGACGAGCTGTGGACACAGGTGTGGAGGAGGCGACTGCATCCGACTGGACCAGCTGTGCGATGGCACCGCCAACTGCCTAGATGCTTCCGACGAAACGGCCGCCATGTGCGATAAGGTCTGGTGTCCGGGCTACGGATTCCGCTGCAAATACGGAGCGTGCATAGCCAGCACTGCGGTTTGCGACGGAGTGAACGACTGTGTCGACGGATCGGACGAGGAGGGGTGGTTGTGCCGGGCCCAAATGCAGCAGGCCAACTGCGACAACTGGGAGATGTACTGCACCTCCGGTCAGTGCATGCCCTACTCCAAGCTATGCGACGGTGTCCGGGATTGCCGGGACGGCGATGATGAGCTTGAGTCCCTTTGCAAAGGGGTGGTCATACCAACTACAACTCTCAGATCCACAACTACAGAAAAGAATATCATTAAGATGACTCCCACAATGGCCACTAGGAGGACTCCGCGACCGAATCCCATCCAGGATAAAGGGGGATGCGTGATTCCCCAGTTGCCAAATGTGATAGTTAAGCACTTTACCGATGCGATCCTTCCCGCAGGATCCAGAGTTTCCAATGGCACTCGCATCACCTACGATTGCCCGGCGGAACACTCACTTAAAGGAGAGCACCAGAATATTTGCCAAGACTCGTTGTGGATTGAAAAGTTTCCCTACTGTGAAAGTAAGTTGGATACTTAATGGAACCTCTTAATTTTATTCAACTAATTTATTTTCTTTTAGCACCCGCAGCCTTTATCTTTAGTCTGGTGATATCAATATTCGCTTTCCTGATCGTAATACTTGTATTCCTAATTTGGCGGGTTCGACGGGACAACGGAAACAGAAGGCAACGTGAGGAGCACATTTGGCTAGTGGAGACCAGCAGAAATCCTCCCCAGCAATCTGACATACCAAAAGTCTAATGAGTTAATTCATTAAGTAAAAACACTTGATGCTCTGAATATTAAATGCTTCAAGTTTTTGAATTGTAACCGTTTTAGTGTTTGCAAAGTCTGCCGAATCAGTGATGAAAAGCGCTTAACATTTTAAAATCTTTAAAATTTAAAGTAACATAACATTTATTAAGATAGGTAATTGTTGCCCCTATTTATTATTTATAATTATAAGTTTATACAACTCTTAATAATTTGTTTAGGGCTCACTAAGTATTTATTTAAGTGAAAACACTATTTTAAGCTGCAAAAAATGTAATATATATATTTATATATATATAGTCGACTGCCAACATTAAATATAATAAACATTTTAAAACACTATATTTATTTAAGCAACACATATGTAAAAACCACTTGTTGCTGCGACTAAACAGTGACTGGGAATCGTGTTATTTATGCACAAAGAATACACGGTCACACGTTTCCACCGAGTGCGCCAATATTGCTCCAGTGCTCCGAAGCGTAAGTTCCCCATTTTAGAAGTGCCTCCAAATCAGATACACCAACCGATTAGATAACTAATTGCACTTGCAGCCGGCTCAGAGTCCCCTTGAAAATGGCCAACATTGCTAAGATCTTCGCCACCCGTGCCCAGGGTGTCCTGCAGGCAGCCGCCCGCCAGCCACAGGTGGCCACCAGATTCAGCAGCTCCTGTAAGTATAGTAGGGATTTCAGGGAGATCAAAGTCCACGCGGCCGATGCCCAGCCTTCTAAGCTGGAAAATCAAGGTATCAAGTGCCGGTTTCCGTCGAGAACTTGTTACTTTTCCAGCCAAACATTGGTTGCGTAATATCCACGATATGATCACCTCATAATGCCATCTCTTTCCCCCACTCTAATAGCCACCAACAACTGGGAGTACATCAAGACCGAAGTAGCCGGCGAGGGCAAGAACGTGGCGGTGATCACCCTGAATCGCCCCAAGGCCCTGAATGCTCTCTGCAATGGCCTGATGAAGGAGCTGTCCACCGCTCTGCAGCAGTTTAGCAAGGATCAGAGCATCGCCGCCATCGTTCTGACGGGCAGTGAGAAGGCCTTCGCCGCCGGAGCCGACATCAAGGAGATGGTGGGCAACACCTACTCGCAGTGCATCCAGGGCAACTTCCTGAACGACTGGACCGAGGTGGCCCGCACCCAGAAGCCCATCATTGCGGCTGTGAATGGCTACGCCCTGGGTGGTGGCTGTGAGCTGGCCATGATGTGCGACATCATCTATGCCGGGGACAAGGCCAAGTTCGGCCAGCCGGAGATCGCCCTGGGCACCATTCCCGGAGCCGGTGGCACCCAGCGTCTGACCCGCGTCGTGGGCAAGTCCAAGGCCATGGAGATGTGCCTCACCGGCAACATGATCGGCGCCCAGGAGGCCGAGAAGCTGGGTCTGGCCAGCAAGGTGGTGCCCGCCGACCAGTTGTTGGGCGAGGCCGTTAAGCTGGGCGAGAAGATCGGCACCCACTCGAATCTGATCGTGCAGCTGTGCAAGGAGTCCGTGAACACGGCCTACGAGACCACGCTCCAGGAGGGCCTGAAGTTCGAGCGTCGCACCTTCCACGCCACGTTCTCCACTGTGAGTTTTAACGTTAAACTCTGGTTTACACCATCTAATCTCTTGAATTTTTGCAGGCCGATCGCAAGGAGGGCATGACTGCCTTCGCCGAGAAGCGCCCGGCCAAGTTCACCAACGAGTAAGGCCGGATTTCAACCAGATCCCTCCCAGCCAGCATTGCATTTATATTCTCGTAACAAAATCTGTTGTTTGTACGCAATTAAAACTTTAATCGTGATAATTTGAAAATAACAATTTACGATAATTTGTCAGCACAATCTGTAGCATGCCAGCCGACTGTCAGGTGGTATTCCACATCTATAAAGGTGGTATACTCACCTGACAGTTGGCCAGCATGTTTCATTATCCTACTCTTTATCGAAACAGAATAAGTGCATAGGGGACTTCGATGGAATTCGGTAATGCCCTCGCTTGTTGCTGTGGAGTTTATTAGGCAAGTTTGTTGGAAAACTATGCGCTGAGTGACGATGCGGTCGTCGAGGGAAGCCATGCTCCCGGAAATCTATTCCTCCTCGCATTCTTCCGGATCCTGAAGCACAATTGCTGTGGCCAGAGGCATCGCACCACTTAGCTCTGTGCTTGGGACTGTGTTCTGTGAGCTTGGGTTGAACCAGGCAGTGGTCACTGAGTTTCGTGGAGAACTCATAGTTGCGATATGTGACGATTCCTTGTCTTATGTCCGGATAACGTGGCTCCAACGTTCGTGATGTGATGAAGTAATCAGTGCAAGGCCCGCATTGCGCCTTCTGTCTTCTGGCCTTTCTTCGCTCCCGGCGTTCCTCCCACTCCCGCTGGGCACGGGGTACCAGCGGTTGAGGAGCTTGACAGGAATATTGCTGTTTTGGCTTACAACTACCACTTGACTTGCTGTTCCAACTACAGCTTCCATAGGACCCACTCCTGTCACGACGAGTGGTTTCTTTTGGTCGGGACCTGCGGAAGTTCCCCATTTTTGGTGGTCCCGTGGAACAGGATGGTTCCTGACTGGTTGTCCTGAAATCTGCCCATTTTCTGTATCTTACTATTTCAGAACCGGAGGAGCTTGGTGATTTGCCAAGTCGTCTTGAACTGGATTCCAGATTATTATTTCTGTGACTCTGTTTTGTCCATAGTTTAAGATCTCTGGGACCCCTTATATCCTGGATTCTAGCATGATCTCTGAAGGTAATTCTTTTGTTAACAGAAGAGTTGGTTTCCTTACACATTTCCCTTTGCGTTTCATTAAGGGGCTCTAGTTTTAGAGAGCCTTCCCTTTTTCTATAGCAACCTACACTGAAGTCCCTGGAGCTGGTGGAATGCCTTGGTCTTTCGCTTTCCGATTGGTTGGATTTAAAATGGAAAACTTTAGAGCCCGTCCAGAAGAACCGCTTTGCAAAGGCGTGCAGTCTGGGAAGCAGGCGTGGCTTCTTCGGGATGTGTCTATCTGAATCTGTGCTTAACTTTCTTAAAACGGGTCCCGACCACTTGCGCTTTCCTTTTTTTTGATTTTCTTTGGTGGGAGTATCATCATCCTCCCACATAACAGAACTGCCATTGGAGGTCTCTTTTCGATTCCTGGGATTCCACAGCTGGGAGGATTTGCTTTTCCAGGTGGATGAAGAATTGTCAAGTTCATCAAAATCAGAGCTGAATTGAGTAATTATGGAACTGCTGCATCTACAACTTTCTGGATTTGTATCAGAATAGCTGCGGCCAAATTGAAGTTGGTGTAAATGACTCTGGGGTACCTTATAAGTTTTTTCACTATCAGTTGCCCTCAATTTCTCCTTTACCCGGCTTCTTATATCTGCATTAGTTTTAGACCAGTAGTATGAGTATGGCCGACTGTCCGGAAACATTTGCCTTTGGCAAGACTTGTGCTCCGCAAGGCGCTTTTTCTCCTCGTTTCGAATGTCCGGATCGACGGCCGACCACAGATAACAATACGGCGGTGGCTTCTTCTTTTTGCATTTTGGGATCGGACAACCAAACTGATCATGTATCTTCTGTTTTTCGGAGAGATGAACAAAACCTTTGTATCCGGTGCTAACTCCCTGGCGATTCGGAGGCATTTCTATATCGTTTTGATCAGGAGCGGGTTGATAGGAGCGCTCTACACTAATTTTCCAATTACTGGAGATGGATGCGTGGAAGGAGTGCTCTGAAGTTGGAACCGGTTGTACCAAAACATTTTCCTGAACCTTACAATGACCTTGATCTGGGTTACTTTTCCAGCACTCCTCTTTGGATGTAATGGAACATATCCCATTATCCCTGCTTGTTATTATTTGACTACAGCTCTTCGCTTTTTTATTTGCTTTTGGCGCACTCCTTTCATAATTAGTTCCTTGAAGGGCCTTGAAGAAAGGGCGATTTTTATACTCGATGCAGCGAGGATCTCTACTCTTTCTGAATCTGGCCTTTTTATTGGGACAAATTGAACTGTTCAAGGATTTCGGAAGCCATTTAGGCGTATCGAAGGGACAAGGGCAATTGATTATCTTTTCAATGGGCCTTAAATTTCCCTGGGATCTGGATCTGGGCTTCGATGTGCGACTCAGTTCGAAAGTGTGCTGGGATTTAGAAGCAGTTAAATTTGGTGCCTTCTTACTTTTCAGCGGTGGAGCTAAAGATGGATTACTGACATAAATTCGATGTAGGCTAGTCCCTTTTAGCTTACTCTCCTTTAGCTTATTTATATCCTTTGAGTAAGCTTTCCCAGCTTCCTGGACATTTTCCTTCCCTAAAACCTTTTGATTACTTTTCTTTTGGTCCGGGGTACCTTTGTTTTTGGCAAACATTTTAAGGCCTTGTGTTTTTGGCTTGCTTTTAGATGCTTGGATATTCTCTGTAGTTAAGGGATCAGAAACATCCATGTTTCTAGGACAGGGGCAGAGGGGTTTCTCATGGTGACGGATACAGGCCACATTGGTGCACGGAAACTCCAAAGGTGCAGCTGTATCGATGCCAGGACGCATGTGGCGTCTCTTAGCCTCCGCATCGTATTTGTAATAATCGAAGCTTGGCCGGAGGGGCAGGTACTTACGCCGAAGCTGCTCAAGACCCCGCATCCTGGCGTGGTGCTGCTTAAGGAGGCACAGAAATTCGGGGGATACCCTTCGTCCTGGAAGGGAGAAAGTCGCCGCTTTGTTCTTCCGACGCAGAGCATGTCTTATGGGCACTCGAAACCTGAAGCAAAACTTCCTTTTGCATGGTTTCCGCTCGGCTGTGGATCTCCGTGTGTTCAGATACCACTCCGTGGCTCCGTCGTCCACATCGAAGTACTTCAATCCACGACTGGTTATGCTTGGAGGTCCCTCCAATTTTGGTTGGGCAGGAGGATCGGGATGCAGCGTGGAGCACCACAACGAATCCAGACAGTTATTGCCACAGGTCAGGAAGTCGTAGTAGGAGGTGCATGTACTCTGCATGTTCAGCTTCTTTGTCTTCAGAGCACTTAAAATATTCATCGTAGAAAGGGAATTTTGTTGTATTAAAACTGAAAAATTTGAAAAATAACCTAGTTTTACTAAGGTTGGTTGATAGACACACGTAAATAAGTCGGCAGTTCATTAAAACTTAATTGTCTTATGGTTTTAAAGCATTATAAATCCTAAGGCGATAATTAATCTAAGGACAATCATAAGATTAAGGACTTAAGATGCCTGTATTTGTTTTTTATGACGGACCCAAGATTCATTTCCGTTTCTAGGACTATCGTCTAATATTCGACGTTCAATAATTTATTTGTGCACAACATCTTCTGTTGGCGTTCATTTCTTCGCAATTTATTGTAATGGGAACGAATCCCATTTCGAATAAAAATCGAGTTTTATTCGGGTTTTCCTGATAAAGGGTTATTTTAGTTAAGATCAAAACAGAAGAAGGCGGAAATAACCTTCCGAAGGCAAACTGCATCAGTCAAATTTTCTTTGTTTAGTCAATTCCAAGATTTCTTGATTGGTAACGATCCAGCTGTTCCTTCCAAAACCGGTCGGAGTACCGACGAATTCTTAGTGGTCTCTGGGAATGCAATTGCGAAGGGTTCAAGTGCTTCAGAGCCTCCGGGAAATACTTGTTGTAGATCCGTTTGGAGATATTTGAAAGACTAGCAGAGTCCTCTGGTACGGTCAGTATCTTCTTTAATGTGGGAAACTTTCTACGCGGTTTCACCTTTTTTTCTACCTCTGGTTTTTTAATCGCCGGCCTCTTTGGAATCTCCAGAATGTTCTCCGTCATGAAATCCCGCGGTGGCTTGGGTGGGCGATAGTCCTTGCGTATGGCAACCTGCTTCATTAGCTCCTGGATGCGTGCCTGCACAGCGGCACGCTCGTCCATGTAGAAGCTCTGTCGCACCTGCTCCCTCAAGCTCTGATATTTGGACTCCTGGCTCTCCCGGCTCTTGATCTCGTTGCCCACCGATCGCATGGTCAAGATGCTCTGCCGACTTCGGGAGTCTTCCGAATAGCTATCACTCGGTTTGGGCTTGTGCTTGTCCCGCTTCGGTGCTGACGATTTCTTGTGGCCCTTTTCGGCCTTGTTTGAAATTCCAACTAACATATCGCTGATTGATTTCTTTAAGCCATCGTCCGGATAGTACTCCTCCGGGTAAGTGTCAAACAACAATTCATCGGTGTCATTGGGCTCGTCCTCCTGCTCCATTTCCCGACTCTTCCGTGGCGATAGCAAGGAATTGGAGATGTTCGTTGTGCTGATCACAGAGCCGCCAGTTCGCATATTCTTGTTTGATATACTCGGGATAGATGACTTGCGATAGAAATAACTTCTGTCGCTCCTCATATATGAAATCGGATGCTTCGAGTTCATCTGGCTCACTATGTTTTGATCCGCTTTAGAATTTTTAATGTAGTAGTAGAATTTCTTGAGGTGTATTTTCCTGCCAGGCAAGAACAATTGGCGAGACCTCGAAGATCGAATAGACATTAGCGAGAAATCACTGGTTGAGGAGGAGCGATATTTTCGTCGTCGAGTCCTTGGCTGTTTGGGCTTTGGTGATGTATTAACATCTAATTCATGTTCTGGTACTTTAGATTCTTTGGGCATCACAGTTTTCTCCAACGGTCCCGAAACTTCAGTTTCTTTGTCCATCAGTTTGGTCACATAAGGTCTAATATACTTGTGATCTTTGGACATCTGTCGCCTCTTAAAAGGTTCCCAAGTTTCGGAACTTGTGTTATTTTTTGTTTTTATTCGGTAATTGCTTGCCAAAATTGGATTGAGTTCTGGCATTATGGTTTCTTTGCCCTTAAGCATTTTATGGAATAGTTTCGTAGGACCTTTTTTTTCTTTACCGACCTTCATTTGCCTGTAAGTTTCCGAACTACGAAGTCCATAATTTGGTATAAGGTTTATTTTTAGTGCGGACTTCTTTAGACCAGTCTTATTTGCTTCCTCATTTTTCTTAATTTCCTGTGGCTCAGCAAATTGGATCCTACTTCTCAGAGCAGGAATAAGTTCAGGCATCTCGACATCGCTGTCTTTAATTAGATCTTTAAAAATCTTTGTTCCGGGTTGTCTCCGTTTCTTAATCATTTTTCTAAATGCCCATGAAAACTTCGCTCCGACCTTAGTTGATATCTGTGTCGGCGAATTTTCGATTTTTGAAATATCTGTTGATGATGCAACTTTTAAACGATTAGATGATTTTAGAAGTGGATGAAGCTCGGGTGTTTTTGAGGCCTTTCCCTTAAGCATTTTAGAAAATAGTTTTGTGTACTGAGCAGATTTTTGATCCTTCTCAAAAGAAGTGGCAACTTTAAGGTTGTATCTGCTCCTGAGAGTTGGGTGCAGTTCTGGGATCACAACTCCTGCTTTTTTAAGCATCGGCCCAAAAAGATCTGAACTTCGAAATTCCCTGTTTTTCTCGCTTTTCTGGTATCTGCCAAACGGCGTTTCAACTCTCCTGATTCCTTTAAGATCCTTGACAGGTCGTTGATTTTTGGAAAATTGCTGAAGCAAGTTTTGCTCCAACTTTGCGGAAGATAGTTTTGGCTTTTTCTTCTCTTGAACAGACTTAGGTTTTAGTGTTTCAGAAGGACTATAATAAGGACTATCCTTCTTTAGCCATTCCGGGGTCCGACGAGCAGTTTGATTTTGATTTAAATCAAAAAGCTGATGGAACTTGTCCAACCCTTCACGTTTTTTGAGATTGTGGCTGATAAATTTCTGCCTTTCCAATTCCTGGTCATCGTCTTTTTCTTGAAGCTTTACTTCGTGCTCTTCACGCCATCTGGGTTTTATTTTCTTAACAATTACAGGTCGTTTGGTGAGAGGAGGCAGAGATCTTTGTGCTATTAAAGTGGGTGTGGCATACAGATTGGTTCTTTTTTCAAACAGCACAGGTTGATTTCGTTTTCTAGCAATATTATCCTCCCTCTGTCTTTTTCGAAGCTTACAGCAAATTTCGTAGGCATCTTTATCGTCCATTTGTGTCGTCTTTTGTTCGTTATGAACCAGTAGCTCTCGCGAGTTCTATAAAATTTGGTAAATGGTCAAATAAAAAACTTATTAAAACCCATTATTATTATTTGTATTGATTTATGTTGTTTCTATTATTGCAAAGATATGTAATTTGTGAATGTATATTTTGTATTAAAACAACATGTTTCAAAAGAATCATGTCAATAAATCGATTTTATTGTAAAATACTTAATATACAACTGTATTATAGAAATTATTTTTACCTGCGGATTGGCTGAACCCAATCCATTTTTCCTAATTACTGCACAATAATTTTGTATTTTCTTTTGTATCTCTCTGTAGGAATTGGGATGACAGTTACACCAGCAGATATTGGATTTCTGAAATGCAGACATTGTATAAATTCCAAACGCAAATATCCTCCTCAAAACAAACAATTTGTTGTATTTACCCGAAAGAGAAATCAGAATTTGAATTAAAAATCAAGGATGGCCACACTGGCTGCGCCCAACAGCACGCTGTAAACTGCGGCCTAACAGTGCCGTAAGATAACGCGGCTCGATTCCAACCACTCCGACATATATATAGTATTTGGCAAGAGTCCTGCGCGCTGACAGTCGAAATTCCGTTGAGAGCGAAGCTGGCAAAAAGTAAAAGTGAAAATCAGGCCCTTGAAATTTGTTCATCAATTATGCATTGATTAACGAAAGCAGCGAGCGAGAAACAGTGAATGTGAATTGTTTTGAGAGCGCGGTTAACGGAAAGTGAATTTGAAAAGGGTTTTTGGCGGATATACACATATATATTTCTTTGCGTTCCGTAATCCATAATTGCGCGAAAGCACTCGAGCGCACACACCACCCACCACCAACACCCACACCACGCACGGTATATACACACACAGTTGTGGGTGAGCCGCCCCCACTGTGCCCTTGGCCCCACGGACCCAAGAAGCGTTCGATTTTTCACAACAGTCAGTGAAATCGCCAGTGGAAGAACGAGAGCCCCGGGAACCCCGATAGCCCCGACCACCGGAGACCCATACAAATCATCATCATGGACATGCTCAACCAAATACTCAGCATCAATAACGGTGGCGCCTACGGGGGCGGGAAGGCGGGCGGCGCCTTCGACCCGCTCACGTTCGCCATGAAGCCCCAAGTGGTCATCAGGGCCCTCTGCTGGGTGAGTGCTCCGACAAGCTCCGCTCGGGGAGTCGGAATCGCTGCGATTTGTGGACACACACGACCCGATTGCCACACTGTTTACACGACGACGCATAATTCATGAAGTAATGCTGAAAACGAGTCCATACAGACCGTTTATACGCCACCAACTTAGCTGATCTCTTGATATTATATAATACATTTTGTTAAATATATTTGCGAAATAATTCATGAATTTTTACAGACAGTTTTAACTTAAAACTTGTCCTTACAGTCCTTACAGAACACTTTTGCACATTAATTTTAATTCTATTTAAAATATAGAGTCCGGACTTGTAAAGCTGAATTCTTGAAATAGTACAGTACTTGACTTAGTGTTTAAAAAAGATGTTTATTTTCTTAATAATTCACCGTAAGCTTCAGTTTTTTCGTAAATGTAGAATCCTTACATTCCATTTTCACACCAAAACTTAATCACTTGTTAAATCAGGTGTATTTAGTTTAGTTAAAAACTTTTATTGAACATATTTTAACGAACAAATTGTCAAATTATGAAACCAAATTAGGCAAAAAAATTTTAAAACAGAAAAGGTGTGGCTTTAGCTGTCTTATACCAAAGTAGCTAATTTTTTTGAAATTACCAATTTAATTAATATTAATATTGTTTTTAAACCGACGCCGTAAACCTGACCTTTATGTGCCATTTTCCCTGTCGAAGGTGTGCCCGTAAATGTTGCATAAACCGTATATGTGTTTTGCAATATAAGTAAACCATGAATGTCGCCACATAAACGCAGTGGCACTCAAATGTCCGAGTAGTCCCGTGCCCGATTTGTTTACCCCAGTTGCGCAGTGGCTCAGGGGACTTGAGCCGAAAAGGGGGGAGTACTAGTGTTCAGCTGCAGAGTGGCCATTTAAACTCTCACGCCCATGAATGCTTTATTATCAAATGTCGTAAAGTGTCCTGGCGATTGGTCACTAGGCTTAGAACTTTATTTAACCATCGTCTTGATGTGCGTCACCATCGTCGAAGTGGGAAAAATGTTATAACTGAGGGGGCGGTGGTTCGACGCCTGTTTGCTTTTCATTTGTGTATACGTAATATTTTCCCACTCTGTTGACCAAGGACTCTTCCTCGCGATTGCACAGTCGCTCCCACTCTCCTGGCCAAACAAACCAAACTTGGCCTTCATTCCCCAAATTGGGTCACAACCATAAGTACGTGTCTGCCCCGATGTCTGTGTACTTGAACTTCTGGTTTGTTGCACCTGCTTAAGAAAATCAATAGTGGAGTGGGATTTATATGGCTCATAAACTATTAATACGCTTATATGAGAACCCCTTTTTTATTAAACAGACTATGAAAATACTGAAATTTCCCCCTTTAAATATAAGTAAAAATGTGCAATATAAACGTATATGTGGAGCAAATTGCTAAATACGTTTTGGCTTTCCCTAATAGAAGTAAATTTTGAAAAGAAAACTAATAAATTGTTTAATGGATACTAAACATAACTTATAAGTTTTATTCTTAGTGAAGTGTGATTTCAAATTATCCCTTATTACAAAAGAAAGCATATAACTTCAAGGCAGACTTAAAAAAGGTTTTAAAACAAAAATCAATAGACCTCTTGAATTTGTTCGCTAACTGGTTACTTTTTAAAGTATATATTGCAAAAGGTACACAGATAAGTTAAGTAAAATAAAAAATAGTTTAACATTTTTAGGTATTTATTTAAAAGAAATAATTGTTTAAATAAGACCACTGGCACGAACAGAAATAACCCTGTCATTATCCACATTTTGTATGTGCTAGTAAGACGTGCATATAAAAGCGACATTAAAACGTAATGTATGCTCTCACTCATAAGGAATTTACCCGCCTTTCCAGCTATTTTCGGTCGTGGTCTTCGGCTGCATATCCTCGGAGGGCTGGACGGAGAAGGACGGCAAGGAGTACTGCCTGTACAATGGTGACGGCATGGCCTGCAAGTACGGCAACATGGTGGGCGTCTTCGGGTTCCTGGCCTCCATGGGTTTCATGGGCGGCGAGTTCCTGTTCGAGCGGATGTCGTCGGTGAAGAGCAGAAAGCGTTACGTCATGGCCGACATGGGTTTCTCGGGTAAGCTCCAGGGCATTCCATAGATTGTGACCCTGGGCTGATGACAATCCTTTATTGCAGCCGGCTGGACATTCATGTACTTCGTGGCCTTCCTCTACTTGTGGTCCCAATGGAGCTCGTCACCCCCGCCGCCACTGGGAATCGGAGCTGGCAGCATGAAGACCGCCATCTGGTTCTGCCTCTTCTCGATTGTCAGCTGGGTGGGTAGACCTTAGTCCTTGTACTACTCCCTGTGTCCTGCCATAACGGAATTCCATTTCTCAGGCCCTCTGCGCTCTGATGGCCTACAAGCGTTTCCTGATCGGCGCCGGCGATGAGTTCACCTCCGCCTTCGAAACGGACCCGGCCAACGTGGTGCACCAGCAGGCCTACGGCTACTCAATGGACAACGACAACGAACAGTACAGCGCCTCACCATTTGGCCAGCCACAGCAGGGTAAGTCCATAGATTCATTATAAATCCTAAATCATAAGATTGTTCAACCATTTTCATCAAATTACTTTTTTTTAATATAGAGTTTATAGAATTTATTTATTTATATAGAATTAATATAATTTATAGAATTTATTACACCTGTATTGATACTTTCTGTTGCCAATAAAACTAGTTCGATTTAGGTCCGATTTCTCAATGTCATGTTAGTTCTGTTCACTGAGCAAGAAAGTTGACATGTAGTCAAATTATTCAATGTCGCTTTCTCAATGTGATGTTAACTCTTTGAAGGATAAATCTTTTAAAGTTTTCTTGGTCATTTTCGTTTCGCCGATTAATCAATGTCAAAACTTAGCATGACTTTTGGATTTATTTATTTATTTATCTGTAGTTTCAGTTAAATATTGGTGGGTTAATTCCATGTAAAGAACTATGAGAGTACTATCCGTTAAAGTATGAAAGTGCATATTTTGATCTTCACATCATAGTGAATAAAAAAATATTAAATATAATATTAAATTAAAAAATGTTATCAGTCTCATCTATAAAAGTATTAAATATCATATAATTTATTAATAGATTTTCTGCCGTTAATCATGTTTTAAATCTATTACAAATCCACAGGAGGCATGGAGCAGCAGCAATCCGGAATGGAGTACCAGCAGCCCACCTACTAAGGAATTTCCACACACTTGCTCCTCCGTTGTCCGCACACACTCACTTCGATTTTGTAGTGCAACTGGCAAAGGTTTTACACGACTAAACAGCAACACACAAGTTGGCTTTACCATATACACCGATGTCGAACATATAACAAGAGTAACCGAAACAATAACAGTTGAAACAAGCAAGCAGCAGCAGAAACCAATCCAAATCCACGCACTGGCTTTAGCTACTGGAAGATATATCAGGGGATATATATTTGGGATATGTTGGATCTATCTGATATGTCGGAGTAGTTCGAATAACTCGTAAGCTAGCCCTTTAAGTTGAGTGTGCAGTTTTTTGTAGTGGACATTTGTTGCAATATATTATACAGATATACAACTAGTTATATATCCCATATGTATACATGCTACCCGCGCTTTCAACGTTGTTAGTTATTTAGTGTTTACGTGTACGTACCATATGATTTTGATTTGTGCCAGACCCTGGTCCCCCGATCAGCTTGTTAACGATGGCAATAGCTTGCAACAGAGGGAAACATGATGTTTTTTAGATAAATTTACACACGTGCAGTGCAAATACATAGTTGAAAAAATAAATTGAAGCAATTTGGCCACCGGAAGGACAGACGAACCACTGCTCAAGCCACATATCCAATATCTATCTGGACATACCCACAAATAGACCTGCGGCCAGGGTCGAAGCTTGGTTAGTTGAGCAGCAATAGCAACCACAATAATAAACGCCAAACAATATGTAAATTCTAAACAGTAAGCGATCTTTAAACCGTAGAATTGTTGTGTGGGTATACGTTTTCGGGAGATTACTGCAGGAATATTACTAGTTATGGTTCGCAATCACGCTGAAAATGGTATAGGGCTTGTTCAAGGCTTGTTGTTGCCCCTCCCTACCAAAGATTTGTATAGTAACTATAAATACCCAAACAAATGGAATTATACTTATGTGTACAATACCCATTATGCATTGTAGAGTGGCGGTCTTACCCAAAAAAAAAAAAAAAAACTGGGTGCGATGCCTCCTTCAATATACTTAAATATCAATGAATGTAAACATATTGATTACATAAATGTTCACTTAGTGCAGCAACTTGCGATAACCTACAAATGTATTTGTTAAATTAAATACTATATACATATATATTATATATATTTACGGATTGTACGTTTAATACGAAGCGCCCTGTTAAATGCAACAAGGAGATACAAATATACAAGTATAAATTAATCATGTAGAATTCGTGTGCGTTAAAATGGTAGACAAAGAAAACCAAAACCAAATTTACTCATTTCAAAAATTAAGATCGAGAAAAATAGAGAACCCAGCCCGAAATCGGCTTGAACACTATTGTAACAGAGAAACTCCTCAAACAAGATTCTCAACTGGAAACCCCTCAAATAAATATAAATACATATTTTTAAAAACCAACCCAAAATCAGTGAAGTATTTTCTTTGGGTTTGTTCCCGTATACACGTTTATTCTTAGATATGTCCTTTAAAAGGGAGGCTAACAAAATACTGAAATGTTTATGGAATTACTAAAGGTTCCCTTGGAACTTCAGTGGTTTGTTCCCCCTTCGATAATTCTGCTTCGAGGCCTGTTCGTTGGGTCGTTTGCCTCCCTTTTAAGTTGACATCTTGTTCATATTCGAGTGCTTCTGTGGATGTTGTTTCCTTCGAAAATTCTGGATTGAGAATAGGTCTTTGTTTCGCCTTCCACTCTTCAAACGTAAGATCACTGAACTGATTTATACCCTTCTTGAAGGACTCGACTCCCAACTCGTATTGCAAATTGTGATCCTGAATCTTTCTCAAATTTTCGCAGAAGATAATGCGACGTTTATCGGTTTCGGCATCATCTTTATATTTAGCTTCAAAGTTAATCTGTAATTTATAAAAATTAATTTTAAATTCTTTAAACACGCATCACTTCTTACCAGGAACATCTTCCATTCAACATTGCAATCATTGCTATCAACTTTAGACTTATCAGTAGTGTCTTCAACATTGGTGAACTCTGGTTCAACAACAGGTTTTTGTTTCTCCTTCCACTCTTCAAAGGTAAGATCACTAAATTGATTTATACCCTTCTTCAAGGACTCGACTCCCAACTCGTATTGCAAATTGTGATCCTGAATCTTTCTCCAATTTTCGCAGAAGATAGTGCGAAGTTTCTCGGTTTCGGCATCATCTTTATTTTTAGCTTCTAAGTCAATCTGTAATTCATAAAAATTAATTTAAAATTCTTTAAACTCCCATCACTTCTTACCAGGAAGATCTTCCAGGCAACATCGCATTTAATGCTATCAACTTTAGACTTATCAGTAGTGTCTTCAACATTAGTGAACTCTGGTTCAACAATAGGTTTTTGTTTCTCCTTCCACTCTTCAAAGGTAAGATCACTAAATTGATTTATACCCTTCTTGAAGGACTCGACTCCCAATTCAAACTGCACGTTGTGATTCTGAATCTTTTTCCAGTTCTCGCAGAAAATATTGCGACGTTTTTCTACTTCGGAGACGCTCTCGTAGAATACATCAAAGTCGATCTATATACATACATATAAGCAAAATATTTTCTTTAGTCGACAGTTCTGGGAAATGTGTAATCAGAACTTACCAAGAACTTTTTCCAAGCTGACTGGCATTGACTCTCGTCTTCTGATAAGACTGGTGGAGCTGCAATTTCAACTGGGCTATTCATCTCTGTTACCGTTTCAATATTTAAAGTTGGTGCGATGTTGGTGGGTGTAATAGTGGGTAGGGCCCAAGCCACGCCCACCATAAACAGGATCACAATAAGAGCTGAGACCATCTCAAGACTTTCTCTCATACTGAGCAGCAAATTGCGAGTACTGTGAATTATATATTAAACATCGAGATGAGTATTAGCAAAAGTGAGCTGCATTGAGAGAGAAAAACAGAATACCTCTCGTGAGAACAAACGATTTGTATTTCTCCTCACTTTTCTCTTTGGATTGCATCGAATCGGTCATTCGGGGCTTTTATAGACCCGTTTATTTTGGACACACTTCCAAGTGCAGCACGAATAGAAACTGAAAAAAAGCTTACTTCCTCTTAAAAAAAAGTTTTTTAAAATCCATTTTTGTCTATAATATAAGGGTTTATTTTGAATGAATTTGGTGTTGCCAAAAGAACTTACTGTTTAATAGTTTTATTTAAAAGTGATTAGAATATCATAATCACTTGTAATCTACAACGGTATTTTAGCTTTTAGATTTTAAAAGCTTGCCCCTTTATCATCCTTTATAAAAAATATTCTTTGTTTACCGCCTTCTCCTACATCTGGTACCCTAAACACGATAAAAAGGGGTCTTGATTTCAAATAATCAAATATTTTCGTTAAAAACTTTGAATGATTTCGATTTGATTATGATTTTCTTAAATTACACTTCGAAATCTAAATTATTGAACAAATTATACCTTAATTAGGACAGAACAAAATCAATAAATAAATTATAAGTTTAAAAATTCTTATTCACACTTTCAGAGAATTTTCTTAAATGCTGATTTCCGCAAAAACCATCCCCAAATTAATATGCCACCCACAATGTAGAGCAATGTAAACGAAAGCGCAACGAGAACTTATACAGGTAAAGCACATTTTTATTGAATAATCGGGTGACTCATGGACTTCATGACGTCACGGCAAAGCTACATACTACAGTAACAAAGTTATAAATTCGTGGTTTGTAATTGACTATACTATCTAACTAACTGCATTACATAGTTGACTGACTACAGAATCGGGTAGCTGCACTCGCTGGCGATGCCGCAGAATCCGCCGGCATTCCTGGGCAGACGCATAAAACCACCCTCGCCCCAATTCTGGGAGTACGAGTTCTTGATGATCCAGTAGTCGCGTCCGTTCTCCGATCCGTAGCCCACCACCGTGACCGAGTGGTTCACCTCGCCCTGGTTGCACTCGTCGTCCTCGTAGATTCCGCCGCCGTACTGCTCGAAGGAAATGGTGTCCGCGTTCATGGAGCAGGCCAGTGGGCCCAGGGTGGCGATCACCTCCTTCATCTTATCCTCATCGCCGGGCGTGATCGTGGCGTAGTCCCTGATCTTCACCAGACTCTCCCTGGGCGGACGACCGGCCGTCTCGTTCTGGCGGCACTGCATCTCCGTCTGTGTGTACGGGTACTTGTTGGCCAGCGTCACTCCATGATCGCGGATGTACTCGAAACCGTACTCCTGGAAGCCACCGTCGCATCCCATGTTACCATAGTCATCGGCACAGTCCACCAGATTCTGCTGCGACAGCGAGGCCAGCACTCCCGTCCGCCGGAAGAGGTGGCCCTCGAGGGCTCCGGTGGTGGCGAACGACCAGCAGGCACCGCATCCCACGCCCTGGAATCCGGGTGGGGTCACTCCTCCCTTCTCGCGCCAGTCAAACTTCTCGGGAAGATTGGCACTCGCCGGACTCTTGCCGGTCACAAAGTTGATGTGGCCATTTGTGTATCTCCTGCAAGACAAAAGAGGTCGAGATGAGTGGTGGTTTTAATTGATGGGTTAAATTAATTAATCTTCGCTTCAAAAAATACTAAATCATAGTATAATCCACCTCTATCGGTGTAAAATAAAACTATCTTTTATTTAGACTTGTATGTAAGAGAGTGTAAAAAATTTCATGATCGGTAAATTATATCTTCTTTAAGTAAATTTACATGTCGAACAAAGCAAGAAAGATTGGTAAGTGAATTATTAATAATTTATATGAGCAAATAAATAATTTTTTTTTACAAAAACCTAACTAATTGTTTATTTTTTAACTGCATTACATGGCTAACATCGACTTAAGATTTACGAATAACAAATATATGGAAGGATAACTAAAAAGCATGTTGTTTAAGTCGGACTTTCATAACTTGAGCCACCCTATGAAAACCGAATAATTTCGAGTTAGGGCGACTTTGATTTTAAAAAATATTCCTCTATTATTAGTTCCTTAATGAAAACCTCAAGGGAAGATCGAGATATGGAAATACTACTTTAATTGGTACTAAATGCCCACCACCTTCTAGAACTGATAAATATAAAAAAAATGTAATCTTGTAATAAAATACATCATATTAATATGCATAAGTATTTATTAATACTGTATGACTAATAAACAATTTCGACATTATTCTCTGAACAAACAGATAATAAAAGTTTGATAATGGTGCTCGTTCGTATATTGTGAGTAATAAATATGTGCTTTTGTTTACTCGCGCCAAACTAATGTTATTCGGAAACGACAAACCTATAAACGGGATTCCTTGTGAAATATGTATGCTGAACTAGTTTAGAATTATTGAGAAACCGATCACCTAAATCGTAATATTACAAAACATTTGGTTAGCGCCCACGAGAAGATTAAAAACCCGTTTTAAAGTTTATGAGATAGATAATAATTTCTTTCATGCTCGGGGGACTTCCCCTTAAGCTTAGCCTAGCCCGGATTGCGTTGGGGAATCAGGTGTTACTTACTCGCCAAATTCGGAGACCTTAGAGCCCAGCAAGGTGCCGATCTCCTTCCTGGTCATGTCGGCCAGTGGATTGACTCCCAGTCGAAAGCCGGCAATGCCGTTGTCCGCATTCTTGTTGCTCAGCGTGATCAGCGACATTTTGGCCGCAAAGATACTCTCGCGATAGACACGCTCCTCATCCGAATACACCTTGCCCGTCTGGCGGAGGAAGTCGTCGAAGTTTTGGACATCGCAGAGCTTGGGGAACGATTGCAGTTGCTGCAATGACACAGCACCCAGCATGACCAGGCCCAGAGCCAACTGCAGCCACATCGATGAGCAGACGTTGTGCATCTGGAACGGGAGGGGAAACAGAAAGAGTGGAAAGTGTTAAGTAACCACTTGGCTTGGCCAACACACACAGTAACCCCATCCCTCGACCTCTTTTCCCCCACATCTGTCAACGTTAATAGCAGGCAAATTTGGCCGGACCATTCACCTCAAATCGAACTAACGTGTCGAGGGACTAGTGGAATATTTAATACCTCTGCATCTCTTTAAGGGAAAGATAGCAATTAATATTAATTTATTGACATAATAAAACCGATTATGAAACACTAAATATATACAGCTTGGAAATGTGCAATAAGTCTCAAAAACTATAAATCAGTTTTGAAGTTAAAAGCAAGATATTTTAATACACTATAAATCTTTTCCAAGCTTGCGATAATTCTTTTTTATTGAGAAGGGAGTTATGATTGATATTGATTAGAGCGTTTAATATTAAAGCTATTTGTATAACTATTTACGAAAATTTTTTAAATAACTCTTTAATTTCTGTTATTTAATTATATTTATTAAATAACATAGAAATTCAAAAAATTCAATAACTATTCTTTTTACTACGAACAATATACAACAAAACTAAACAAATGCGAACTACACTTCTTTAATCACTGTTAACAGAATTTATGATCTACTAAGTTTAAACCAAATTAACACTTTGTCAAAGTTCAATTTGAAATCCATACTTCCCGAAACAACCAGTAAATTTGATTTGTGTTAAACAGCATGTGTTTAAATAAACTAAACCGCTTAATAGTCAATTCAAAAAAAGCAACGTGGTGTCTTAGATAAAAGACAACTTAATGATCGCGAAAAATTAACATATTATTTGGTTTTCCTATCCCGCAGACCATCTTCTTCTGTCAGTAATCGCTTTAATGAGTAATTAATCACCCATTGGCTTTAACCATATCTTAATTTCTTAACATCGTTCCATATTTATTTGACTTTTGAAACTATCAGAGCATCTGAAATTCGCTATTCCGGTCTATTCGATCACTGATGACACATGCATATTAATTGGTTGGATAAGTTCATTTGCATATGATTAACATGATTACATTGGATCCGCTCGAAATAAGAAATATTTATTGTATTGCGTGTTCGTCTCTCCTTTTATTTCTTTGGCCAAGATTGGGTTGCCCGTGGGCCAAATAAATCAAATCTAGATTGGGCAACCGCAGACCAAAATTTCACTTTCGATGCCATAAATACTGATCACATGCTGGGCCTGGTGAAAGGCGTTGGATTCCCCTTTAAAGTCCCGACTTCTATTCAAATGTAAGCTTTAATTGCAATTGCAGTTCTCTTGTCCGTTCGGTTTGCCAGTAATGATGCTCCACGAATGGCACACAGAAAGCGAAAAACACACACGACACACAATATGATGAAAGCCCGGTTTAATCACCTTTTATGAGTATTTGGAAGTAATATCTTCCGCGTTCACAGATCTGTGCGAAGATGGCTCAGACTCGAAGACTGGCGAGGTTTTAAGCGGAGCTCGAGACACACACCTCGGTTTTATAGGGTCCACGGTTCGGACCAGGCCCGTGGGACATCTGGCCAAAACCAGATGGGCCCCAAATTTGAAACTATTGGAAAACCAAAAAAATACTGGCTATCTGGTTTATAGGTCTATAACTGTCTTAATTGTATGCATGTTTAGAAATTATTTATTGGTCAATATGAAGGTGGCTTTAACAACATATAACAACCCACTTTAAACAAAAGAAAAATACGTTTAAACATGTTTATAATATGCAAACAGGTGGAAAATAGATTAACTAATGGGTTTGATTTTGATTAATTGTAGAGCGTATAACTATGTGTAAATATGTTTATAAATTTAAATGCTGTTTATTATTTATTAAGATTTTATTTGTAAACTAAACATAAAAGTAATTAAAGAAAGAAAATATTATATTTGAAAACAATATAATTTTATTAACTAAGTTTTCAGAAGCTAATTGCTTATAACAATTTTGATTGTTAAAATCGATTAGGGACATATGACAGTGAGACAGACACTGTATTAGTTATATATTTATCTTTAATAAAATGTAGTTAAATATTTAAATATGAAAGGAAAAAGTTTTGTAAGTATAACAATTTCAATAACTATTACTTGACATGATGCTGACAGATTATTATTTTATTTGTAAACTAATACAGAAAACGTAGCCAATTTGTTTACATTTTAATTAACAGTTTTGTGGTCGTTTATTAACCGAATATTTTAGTCTGACTGGTAAAAAGTTCATTGACTGCTTTAGGGTTTAGTTTTTGCGAAGTTCCAAGAAGCTCCTGGTGTACCTCTTAAGACATTTGTTAAACTTCCGCGATGGAAATTGCCAAACAACTCATTTAACACTTGGTTTACAACAATTTAGCCAAGACTTCAAACGGGCCTGCCAACGGTGTTGCAATATTTATGGGCGCCATGAAAGTATGAATGTGATTAATCATGCCTGCGGAGGAGACAAAACCTAGACAAGTGATGATAAGTTGGCATTAGAGTTGCTTTTACGATGTTACGGGTATATGGGTATATGGGTATGGGTATGGGTATATCTCTGAACTGGGCCAGTGGGGACTTCGAATTAACAGAGATATGAGAACCCACCGAATCGCAACGATACGAAACGAAGCGCATTTGACAAGTTTATTGGGCAAACAAAGCGCACCCCGACTTTTTCTTCTAACGGGGGCTTATCGAGAAGACCTACCCGGAATATGGATACTACTACTAGAGTACTATACTCGCAAGTGCTGTAGGCCAAGTGCGAATTCAAGGCCCCATAGAAATCTATTTGCACTTTTCTTGCGAAAGTAAGTCGGTACGGTATGGTAAACTTCTATTTGCGTTTGCAATCAGAAGGAGAGTTGCCGGTGCCTATAAAAGACCGTTCCATGGTTCTTTGGGGCATCAGTTGGTTCTCTTTTCGGTTTTCGTCATGTTCAAATTGCTGCTCTGCTGTCTTCTGTTGGCCGCCAACGGTGGATGGGCCTTTAATCATGGCCAGGATTACGTGGACTTCCAAACTTATGAGGTGAGTGCGGCATTAAGAATGTGGACTACTTCAACAATGTTAGAAATACAAACATAGTGCGGTATTACCTAAATAATTGAAGGTACTTAAATCTCTGTCTTTAATAACGAATACAGTTAGTTGCTGTACATTTGAACTCAGAGATTGGTGACCCATATTTTAATAGCCTAACTGTTTTATTCTTGCCTTATAACTTGAATTTTAAAAGCAATTTACGTAATGACTCTGTAGTTTTAAAGGCAATAATCTTAAGGAAAAGTGACTTAAAAAAGATTATATAGTCAGAAAGTTTTTTTGTCATAGTCCAACCTACTAGTATTTAAATTTTTAATCAATTGTATGCACGAACGAATATTAAACCCCATTAGTGTGAAAGTAATTCAAGAATTTCTAAAAAAAGTTACAAACATTAAATCTTGGTATTTTATACGCTTAGGTAGTAAATAATAAATTTTTTTAAATTTTAATACCCGCGTCAACCTTAAATAAACTTCAAATTTTTATATGTATAAGTACTAATGTAATAATTGTTATATTTAATTGAATTTTGCCTTTTCAGAGCACCTACAACAAGACGTACGCGTCAACTTCGGCTCGCAACTTTGCCAACTACTACTTCATCTACAACCGCAACCAGGTGGCTCAGCACAATGCCCAGGCGGATCGGAATCGCACCACTTATCGCGAGGCAGTGAATCAGTTCTCGGACATCCGACTGATCCAATTTGCGGCCCTTCTGCCCAAGGCCGTTTCGACAGTGACCTCGGCGGCCAGTGATCCGCCCACCACCCAGACGTCCTCCCCCACCTACGACATCATCACGGACTTTGGACTGACCATATCGGTGGAGGATCAGGGTGTCAATTGCAGCAGTAGTTGGGCCTATGCCACCGCCAAGGCCGTGGAGATTCTGAATGCGGTGCAGACGGCCAATCCCACTCCTGCCGCGCTATCCGCCCAGCAACTTATCGATTGTGCGGGAATGGGAGCCGGATGCAGCACCCAGTCTCCCCTGGCTGCCCTCAATTACCTCACCCAGCTGTCCGAATCGTATCTGTATCCGGAGATGGATTACCCGAATAATAATACACTGAAAACCCCGGGAATGTGTCAGCCACCTTCATCGGTGTCGGTGGGTGTTAAGTTGGCCAGCTATTCCACGGTGGCGGATAACGATGATGCCGCCATCATGCGCTACGTATCGAATGGATTCCCCGTGATAGTGGAGTACAATCCGGCGACCTTTGGATTCATGCAGTACTCCAGCGGAGTGTATGTGCAGGAGACGAAGGCCCTCACCAACCCGAAGAGTTCGCAGTTCCTGGTGGTCGTGGGCTACGATCACGACGTGGACAGCAATCTGGACTACTGGCGGTGCCTCAACTCCTTCGGAGAAACGTGGGGCGAGGAGGGCTATATCAGGATCGTGCGCAGGTCCAACCAGCCCATTGCCAGGAATGCCGTTTTCCCCAGTGCGCTTGCCTAAAAATAACGACTTCCTAACTATATTTCAAACAAAAAAACTTGAATTTTAAAATAAATGCTTAAAATCTGAGGCTTTAAAAAATATAGAAAAACGGTTTTTAATAAGAGGAGGTTACTAAAACAAAAATTATCTTTCAGACCTAAAAAGTAATTTTAGTGTTTCATATATTTTTTATCTGAATACATATTCGAATCTTTTAAGAGTATATATACTTTATTCGCATGGGTATGGATATATTTAAAATTATTTTAGGCAATATTAAGTTAAGCTATTTATATATCCAAGGCAATAACAAAAAAATCCCCATATACTATATAAGGTTGACCAAATTCAGATCATATATGTATATAATAAGTTCTAAAAACTTTACCCCCCTTATTATTCTATTAAGTTTCATTTTGTTTTTGTTGTGAAAGCTTATAGCTTTTTTGTCTCCATTTATTGAATTTACCATTTTATTTAGTTTATTTATTGATTTTTCATCTACAAGCGGAGCTTTACAGACTTAAATGCTAAAAATTAACAAGTTCACATTATTTTCTTTTCTTGTTTTTCGCATCTTTATTCTGCTCATGAATTTTATTCTATTATTTCTGCTGTGTTTTTCTGTTATAGTTTTCTTGCATAATAAATAATTTTCCCATTTTGTTGCTATTCGTGTTGCTGTGATATAAAAACGAAAAGAAATAATATTGATATATATTTAGGTATTATATTTATGGTTATAGAATATTCGACTCAGCCAGCGCAGACAAAAGCTTTTTTGTTTGGTGTGTGTTCTTCTTTCCGTAGATTTCTTACTTTTTGTTCACTTATTTAATAAATTTTTTAAGGTTTCGGTAACTTGTTTGAAAACATGTTATTATTCATACTTTTTCATTATTATATTTCAATTGCATTAATAATTTGAAATATATGTATGTACGTTGTGTTTGCATTTTGTTTTAGTTCAGTTTTTAATTTAGAATGTCTTCCCGTCACTTATGAAGCAAAGCTCAATGATATGATTCACGCAGAAAGGTGTGTTTTAATATCTTCTTTATTATTTAAATACTTTTTCAGTTTATAAAGATTTGCGTGATCTTGTGTTTTTATTTTGTTTTAGTTTGGATGTGCTTCAGTTGCAATAATTTTGCAATACTTTCTTGAAAAAATCTGATGGAAAACAATCAAATTTAAATAATTATTCATCATAATTGGTTTAGTTATGGAATCTTAAGTACTCTGACTATTAAATGGATTATTGATTTTAAATTTTCTTTTTCACTTTATTAATTTTTCTCTTGTTTGGTTTTTCTATTACGATACAACGGCTAGTGTTTGTTATTCTTTTTATAAATTAAAATTAGTTAGGTTTATCTACATATGCTCACGCTTCTTTCTGCTTTTACCTTATTATCTTTCCATATAATTCTTAATAATATATAACTAAACAAATATAATGTTTTATAATTTATGCAATTTTTCATGTATGTATATATATATTTTTTTTTCTACACAAAATGATGTGTTTGTAACTGGTTTTTATATGTTGGCTAGTGTTTCTGTTTATTAATATCTTGCCATGCTTTGTGTTGACTGTACCTTGGTTTGTGTTTTGTATTGGGGACACAAATCAAAATGTTTATGCACTTTCCGTCTAAAGTATTAGGAAGATTTATGTATATCAGCCATGTTAGCAATTCCAGTTCCACCAGACTTTCTCAGAACTCCTTTGGAAATGGCATCGGGATCATGGCTTTATAGTATACATTGGTTTAGTTCGCATGAAGCTTATAATGGACAAAATTTATTTTCTTTTTTGTATTCAATAATTTATGGATTCTCTTTTGTTTTTCAGATAGTTGTCATTCATTTATTTCATCATATAAATTTTAATACGTTTCTCTTATTTTGCTTTCTATGGAAATCGATTTTCTGGCTTTAAATGAGTGTAAAGTCCTAAATATTGCAAATTCCTTGCCGTAAAGACAGATGTTCATATTTAGTATTTGCACTAATAGGTTCGTAAAGGGTTTGCCTTTGGATTTTCCTTACCCATTTGTTGGTTTAAAAAAAAATAATAAAATATTGTGTATTGGGGATAATGGCCACAACATAAGTTGGAATAAAAAATAAATAAAGATGTGGCTCGTTTATAAAAGGATAGTTTGAAATAATACTTTTAGTCGGCATCATGGAGTTCAGAATCATAATTAGTAAAAATTCTTTGCCGTAAAGATAGATGTTTCTTATCCTTAGAATTTACACTAACAGATTTCATAAAGGGTTTGATTTTTCGGTTTGCCCTACCCCATTTAAGAACTAAATATGTGATGTGCTGGGTCATTTGCAAGTATTTGCCAAAAAAAAAAATGGAGTAAAAAATGGGTCATAAGCCATGAATGAGGAAATACTTTCTTTTTCTGATATCATGCAAAGATGGTAAAACTGCTACAGAATCAGAAAAGAATTTCTGCATCAACGACTTAATATTATTTTGAGTTATGAGTTATGTTGTAGATTAGCGTACTGCATTGTTTATTTAAGTTTTAGGGGTCAAAGGTTGAAATTTATTAGGCGGAGACATTTACTGGCAGTTTTTCTGTATTTTAAAATAACTTTTGAACAAAGGCTTACAAAATGTGGATTTATTACTGCCCCCAAAAGTGTGTTTACCTTCCTATTTTTGTCATTTTGTCCTTTATATAATGTAGGTGAACCCATAAGGTAAGTTAATTTCCGTATTATTCTTATTGTTTTTACGCTTACGAACACATTAAATTAAATATTAAAGTAAATTATGCAACTAAATGAGCATCAACTGCAGATCTGAATCGAAAAAACACTAAAACCAAAGTCGAAAACGATAGGTAAAAGTGAACTCAGTGAAATGCTAGATCGAGCTCAATTTACGAGCTCTGGAATCGTATTGTGTGCCTCGAGTTCAGCAGGAGCGCCAATCCGGCGGCGAAGACGAGGGGCAGCATCATCCACTTGGCAACGGGCGAGTTGGCTCCGTTGCACAGATCCTTGGTGCAGGAGCAGTAGATGGCGGCCACGTCGTGGGTTCCCGAGCGTCTCACGCACTTGGAGTCGGTGTGTTCGTCAGGGATGTATCCGCAGCCACGTACGATCCGTGTTTTCCCATAAACTATGGAGGAGAATAAAGTTAATTAGGTGTCTTTTAAGACTCTGCTTGGCAGTCACTCACTCTTTTGAACGGTTTTGCGGCACAGGGTGGGCTTGTACTTGTCCTTGAGGTGCTCCAGTGGCTCCTGTTTGCTGCAGTTCACCTCGCCAATCGAGTACGGCTCGAAGGGATCGCCGCAGCGGGGATCGAACTCGCTATTGCAGTCATAGCACATCAGGGCAGTGGTCACTACAAGTTATGAAGAAATAATAATAATTAATACTAAAACAATTATTTAAAATAAAATAGTTCAAATACTTCTATTTGAATAAGGGTAAGTAAATACAATAAATAAAAATTAAATAATATTTTAGCTCGAAATCACTAATTTTTATTTTATTTATTGAAAGATTTAAGTAAATTATAAAACCCCTAAGGTTTGTTAATTTACTTTCATCCACACATATATTAATCATTATAACACTCTATTTATGCTTATCTAAATTGACTAATTGGATAAAAAGACACATCTTGCGAATTTCATTTTCAAAGTTGCGATTGGTATTCAGCTGGATTTTGTTTTCAGCTTGAATTGGATTAGCCCGGCTTACATTTAGCTACAGAGCTTGCTAATTTATAAAAAATAAGTTAATAATATATAATACAGGGGTGGTCAAAAGTATTTGCACATTTCTTATGAGTAAGTACGTGTAAATTGTGCAAATACTTTTGACCACCCCTGTATGTTAGATTTCTGCCTAAGGATGAACAATCGATCTTAAAACAATCTTATTATTTAATGCCAAAATTTGCATTCAAAAAGTTACGTTAAAGAGATAAGAAAAATAGTTGGTAAAATAATTTTTAGGAAGTTTTTTGCGACTTTTGAAAAATTGATGACAAAAATAACTTTAAATTATGTGTTTTTTGTTAATCTGAAGTTGGGATCAGAATTTTAATTAATGTTGTAAATAAAATACATACAAAACTATGCAACATACATATGTGAATGTATTATTATATAATTAAAAAACTTTGTAAGCATTGGATTGTTTTACGACCTTTGAGCTAGCTTACAAAAAGCCTAACTTAGGTAGCTAGCACGAGATTGTTATTCAATGCTTATCGCTAGAAAAAATATACGAGTGATAACATTTTGAACTCAAGAATAAAATTGAAATTTTTGAATATACAGTTTAAGATGTGTAAATAGTAAATCGAATAAAAAGAAACGAAGATTAGGAAGTAAAACAGTCTTAAAATTGATTCCAAAATATTTAAACCATTTACTATAAACTAATATCGACAATTCACAAATTATATGATAGATCATAAAATAATTTAATTAATAAGTAAGCTTAACAACTAGGTTTTAATAAGGTACAACTTAATGGTCTAGGGCCTTTAAACGTGATTTGGTGCAGCACTACGGCTACGACCACTTTCTCCGATCCGAGGCATTATGGCATATTATATCTATGTATATATGCAGCCAAATGTCAGGGTTCGGAACTGCGTCAGTGTGCGTGCGGGCGTCCGTGTGTGTGTGCGGCTTGTGTGTTTTTTTTGCATTGCATAAACTTTGGGGCTTACCTTGTATGCAGCAGAGCACGCCTAACAACAACAACGTCTTCTCCATGAATGGCGACATTTTTATGTATTTGTGTTTATTGGAATTAATTATTTATGCTCGTTTTTTATGGATCCACGCTTTTTTGCCCGGCGGCTGGAGCAACAATTTGTTTGGATTTCGCTTTCGTTGGACAATTTGCGAACTGATTCGATGCTACATTAGCATGTTAGCCTGAAAGCCACAAAGAAAAAAAACCGGAAAAATGTTAAAGTAATTTTAAAACCTATATGTAAATAGATAGATTGCTTAATAGCTCGTGGAAGATTAGCGAAATATGTGTTGTATATAATTCGACTGCAATGAAAAGTGAAAATCGCCGTTACAAAAATAAATCCAAAAGGGAAGACGACGACGAAGAAGAAGTAGGCAAAAACACAAAGTGGGACGCGGAAACAAAAACAACACTGGTGCAGTTTGGGGCGCGGGGGAAAGGGATGGCAAGGCGACGGCGCAATGCAACGAGAGTGCTCTCTCATTTACCCCCACTCTCTCCTGCCTGCACTCTCTCTCTCTCTTTTTCTCTTCGATGACGCGCGCCCTCTAGCGACCCAATTAGTGAGCTTGTGGATCCCACGTGGAACCCATTCATTTTTTCCATTTTTTAACCATTTTTTTTGTATTTCTTGTCTTGGGATCGACTGTCCATTTAATTGGATTGCAATGATTGCTCAAACGCACACCCAGCCCCTCCTCTTTTCTCCCCAACTACCAATTGATTTTCCCAGCCAGCACTACCAGTTTTGTGGATGGTGGGTAATTGCTAACGGTTCTCGGTAGCTAGGTAACAAATTACCAATATATACCTTCAAAGCCCTCCGATTTCCCCCTTCTCTTGAGGCTTTTAATAGTTTTGCCATCGTTTGCGATTTGTGGCCAAGTGGCTTGATAGGCCTCCCAGTTGACGGTTCAATCTATTTTCTTTTTTTATGTTTGTCAAGCGGAAAGGCTTTGTTAGGCTTTGCCAAGGCTTACGGTTTTTTTTCAAATCTGATTAAATTTTTTTAAGGTGCCTACGTACAATGTAAGAGTTGGTCTATTAAACTATTTTAGTAAATAGTAATAGTATTTATACCAACTTTAAACAATCTTCAAAGTCCTTTAAAATGAGCTAAAGCTATTTTTTTTGGATTTGGAGTAATCTACAATTTTTGATAATTATAATGCTCAAGGTTTTCCAATCCTTCCCTTTGAAATTTTATTAATAGTTTTTATTGTAAAAATTTTATAATTGAATAATAAAACCGGCAAGTATTAAGAAAAACTAACTTAAAAGTTAACTTCTCGTAGACCTTCTTTTGATTACCAATTTATTTATAGATCAACTAATACTATTAATATAATAAATATATGAATACTATATTATTTTTAACAGTTCAAAAAATAATAGTTTCTCGATTTATAAAAAATAAGTATTAATTAGTAAAGTAACCTCTTAAAACTTGTTATACCTCTATCGGGTGAACTGTAATTCATTCAAATACATTTAAGTACTAAACAAGACATAACTGGCTCTACATGACTCATTTGTCGACCCCTGCTATGACTTCACATAGCATTTAAATAACCAATTTCCGGGCCACTCAAGTAATTACGTTGTCAGCCCATTTCCTAGACTCCCCATAGTTCGCTTGGCCATTTCGGTGTAAGCCTAACCACAAAAAGACAAACCCCACTTGCCAACCCCCTTAAAGCACGTAATCGGGAAAAGTGCAATGCACTGAAGCCATGCTGTAGCTCGATTCTAGAGCACTGCAGTTGGGCCCACTCCAAATTGTCCAGACCCAAAGGAATGGGGGGTAAAAACAAAGTGGGCAGACAGATCAGAGTAAGAAATATTACGCATACGCCCCGTTCTTGCCAGCAAATTTGGGTTTCTGGCACACAAACACAGGTCCTCCCTCATATATGCAAGACGAATGAAAAGCCAATCAATATGGTAGTCAAGGGGCCGTTGTCATGTCGGCCACTCAATCACAACAAAGTGGGCTTGTTGTTGGCCAACTGACAGGCGAAACAGGAAGAGTTCCAATCGACAGGCTATATGGGCATATACACGATATACATATGTGGGGGTGGCTTGATTGGAGCGGAACTATTCGATGTTAGTTTCCCATCAACATTTGATGTTCAGTTGCATTTAGCAGGACAAGCAACACCCTGATTCCTCCTCTTCTCTTCCACTCGGAAAATTCAATAACTGACCCAGTTCAGGTCCTGTTTTAGCCCACTTTTACTCCCACCCCTCCCCCCTCTGCATTTTTTTTTTGTTATCAACTGTCTCCGTCTTTTGGCATTTCCTGCGGGAAATGTTTTCAGTTGCCTTCCTGCCAATCGTGGGCTTTTCTTCGAGCTTCATTCCTTTTGTTGTTATGTAATAGCCAGACAATTGGCAGAAGCACGAATCTAGCATATCGATTTAGCCAATAAAAAAAAATAGAACGAACAAAAAATTGAGCAGAACAAGTGGCATGAGAAAGTCACTCAGGTGGCACAGGTAAAATTATCAGGGTTGGGTCTGCACTTTTGTTGTGTAATGCCGTTGAAGACCTCGAGGATTAAAGGATTCGTGGTCCTGGAAGGGGGCTTATAAACTTGGCTATTAGTTAATTAGCCACTTTAAGGTTAGGTATTGTTCTATTTTAATAGCTATTCTGGTTAAAGTTGGTTTTAGTACTATTTCCATTCATTTATAGTCCATTTTTCCTCCGAACCATTAAATGTTCCCACTTGTTTTGTAATCACTTATGCACTTTGGTTCTCCTTTATTTTGAAGTCACTTTTCACTTTTACTTTGGCAGTTATATAATGCCTGACCCCCCACAAATATATTTTCGATAGTTTTTCACAAAGTTTTCCTTTCGGAAACAATTCTCTTTTATTTATTTACGTAAGAGTGGAGATATTTGGAATTTCCCTGGCTCTCGAAGTATTTCAAGCTGATGACACCAGAGTGGAAATGAAAGGCCCCCGAAATGAAAAGCGAAAAGAAAAGCGGATGCGAGGGAAAAGGGCTAGGCGAGGGGTGGGAAAAGTTGGGGAAAAGGTGGTAAAAGAGGGTGGCTCGTGGGTGAAAGGGTGGCTGGTTGTGGGTGAAGGGTTCGCGGGGGTGGGCTGACTTAAGTGCGATTTCAGTGCAAATTCTCTCACAAGGACGAAGCACAAAGTCAAAGCGACCGAGAGAAACAGAGAAAGAGACAAATAGAGAGAGAAAGAGAGAGAGAGCCAGTCACCCTGAGAAAGAGAGGGGTGGTCTTCGTCAGAAAGAGAGGGGGCGCGAGCGCCCTTTTGAGAACCCAAGCGAAAAAAGTTAAATCGATAGCGAACCGCGCCACTGAAGCGGGATTATCTAACACGGCTAAATGGACCGATGTGCCCAGAATCGCGCAATTTCGCCACTTTACACTCGGAATCGATTTCCTGGTTACCTTTTGAGTCGACACACAATCGAATTCGGACTCAAAATGGTCGATATTATGGCCAGCAAAACCCTTGGACTTTTGTGGACTTTTGCTGCGGTCACGCGACGCGATGCTACCCCAAACACGGTGAAATTCTTTCTGAGCGCTCCGCCAAATCCGCAGCTGTCCGCAGGCCGCTTCATCGGCGGCCGGCGAGATTTCCGAGAGAATTCTCTATAGAGAAAGAGTTCCCCGGGAGAGAGACTGCGCACTGGAACACCCTGACATTCCACACATTATTTCTTTTTAAATCTAAACTAAGTCTTAGTTAGGCTTAAAAACATTCAAGTGCTAAATAAATATTTTTTTTGAATAGAAAAATTCTGCAATTTCTGAATGTTGGCTTAAAATATTTTGAAATCACCGGCTGGGATTAAAGATTTTTAGCTTAGAAATTTGAATTACTTCAGAATTCAACATATTCTCATAAGGATATCTGTATAAAAGGTATAAAAATATATCTTTGAATCTTTAAACGTAAGCAATGAAAACAATATTTAAATGACTGTTATACTGGATTGATACAAGAATTAAAAACTACTTTAACGGTTTGTTGAACAATTCTTCCAATATTTAAGAAATATGAACAAACGCCATGCTAATATCAAATGTTAATTCAATGAATTTCTATTTTGATCTTTTAATCTTTGAAGTGAACATGCTAACATATCATGTATAAACCATGTAACCTTACTGGAATATATTCTTTATACTTGAATTTCTGGCGCAATGATTCAATAGACGTTTTACAACATTCTTATACTTTATTTACACACCCTCATTAAATGATCTATGTAATATTATAATAACAATTTACAAAATAGCAACCGCATTAAAGCAGATTTTGAAGACTTTAGCTCTTAATGACTGTCATAACTTCGGTCCAGAAGGCCTGGACCTCAGGGTCCTGCATTAAAATGCGTTTTTTAACGTTCAACACCATGTTGAGTATATCGGCATTCTTATAGCGATCTCGGGTAGAGGATTTCCCATCCGCCGCCTCAGGAGAAAAGCCCTCCGGTTCCTGATCGTCCAAGGGATCCGTCTCCGCCGCCGGGCTGCCAAGTTGTCCAACTAAAAAATAATCACATATTAATGAGTTTCTTTAAGAAATAAAAAATACACACCTTTCTTGGACTTTGTGGCTTCTGTTTTGGGTTTTTCAGTGCGTTTTTGGTAGGGTTTTCGAGGTTTGGGAACCTCTTTTCCTTTGCTGCGCTTTGGATTTTGTTCACTGGGCAATAATTCGGGACTCTCGATGGGGTTATCTGTATCCTGTTGCAGGCGCCTCTTCACGTGAAGATTCAAACGCTCCTTGATATTTTGCTGCTCAAGTTTTATCTGTATCTGCGGGGATTCTGCCATGTTTTTGCGTGTTTAAAAACCAAAACAATTTCCAAAACAGTGGCCCAGTGTGACCACTTCTCAAAACCTAAAATATAACATTAATGTGGACATATTGACAAAAATTTTTATTAATGTTTTAAGAAGATTAGAAGGAAATTTATTATAAGTAAGCACGGCTAACCAAAGTTCATAATTTTAAAACTCCTTTTAATTAAATATTTAAATGTTCTGATTTAACAGTTCTGTAAGCAAATGTCTACCATTAACAGAGTGCCTGCAATTTTGGTTTGAGTCGCAGGTAAGATGTATTCGAGTGCTGAACCCAGAGCTGCATTCGTTAATAAAGGCAAATTTAGTATTTTTCAGCGTCGCCATGTTGGATTCCGCACAACAGTTAACAGCCCCAATCGAGAAATTTCACGCAGCGTTGAAAAATTAAAAAATTACGCAGTAAAAGTGCCCCCAACCGCCCGAAAACATACATAAAGTGTGAATCAAAGGACAACCCAGCGATTAATCATTAATTGAGCGTTGAGCGAGCGCGAAAGGAACGCGAAATCGAGGTTTTTCAAAACCTTGGCCATACGCGTCGCATTGGTGTGTGCCAGTGTGTGAGGGAGTATTGGTGAGAGCGTGTGTGTGTGTGTGAGAGCGAGCGGCCCATATGAAAAGCAACAACATCAACTACGCCAGCAAAGGACCCACAACAACAACAACAAGAACCGCAACAGCGTTTTAATTTGCAAATAATGAGTGTCGCTGCAATGACTATGGACGATCAAAGACCCTTGATGAACAGTTACGAAAAAATGCCCCCGACCAAATACGAGCAAAATCTAAATATCCTAAACAGCAGCCAAAATATTGGAGCCAGTGGCGGCCCCGCCTCCCCAACGCCCTCGGGTCTCGAGGATGCGTCGCACCATCACCATCATCACCATCCGCATCCGCACCATCATCACCATCAGGAGCAGCAACATTTGCAGCAGCAGCAACAGCAGCAACAACAGCAGCAACATCAGCAACAGCAACAGCAGCAGCAACACGCAGCAGCTGTTGCAGAGGCTGTTGCAGCCGCCGAACAGCGACAACGCTTGCTCGAAGGTATTTTGCACATTTTGGTACACTGCTATCAGAGATCTGATCTATATAATACCCCCCTATATACATACATACTCGTTTCGAAAACCCACGATCGAAAGTGTTAACTCTGTGTAAATTGTATAAAACGAAAAACAAGAAGACTTAGTTTAATTAGTTTATTTCTGTCCCCACTCCTTTGGGTTTTTTTGTGCCATGGAAATAGTTTATGAAAAACACTCGGAAAAGAACTCAACGTATATTATGTGAATCGAATCGAAGCGAACACTCTTTTAACGAACATTCTTTCAGCGGCGTTTTGGTTAATTTTTAAGTTATTTTTTTAGACACCACCCTAGAAAATCTTCCATATGGTGAAAGTGCTTTAAAAGGACCACGAATAAAAAATAATATAATGCCTAATACGAACTAAAAGGCAAACGAAAGCCTGAAAAAGTTATAAAGTGTTTACGAAGTGTTGTGCAAAAGAACTATCTATAATATGAGTTAAATAATGAAAAAAATATTATAATCAGTAAAAGTTTAACAACAAATTTTGAGAAATAATAATTAATATAAAAGATGTTAACCAGCTAAGGTTTTCAATAAAAAAAAAGAATACAAATAAAAATAAATCATAAAAAGCTATGGTTTCATAATACAATGTAAAAAATCTACATAACAAGCCAAGATTTTTCATAATCTTTAAACAAAAACATCCCATGAAAGTATGGTTTATAATAAGCCTAGATTGGCCTAATAAAAAACCAATATTTCTACATAAATTTATATAATTAAAGAATCTAAAACGAAGTTATCCAATTTCCTCGTTTTCTTACTCTTTCCGTGGTTTTCGTCGTCTTCTTTGCGGTGTACAGTTTTCGTTTTGCGACCACTTTTCGTTTGCCTACGTGCCAGAAGAAGAAGAAGAGGAGGTGAGGAGAAGAGAGCCAACGTGTCTGCGACCCCACCGCCCCACCCCCTTGTTCCATCTCTCTCTCTCTCTCCAAGCCCCTCTCGCTTACTCTTGTTAAGCTTAAATACAAATAATAAATAATCAAGTAAACAAGTGCCAGTGCATAACGAAAAAGAAAATAAAGTATAATTATTTTTCAGTTGAAATTGTGGTGAAAAAGTGAATGCCAAAAACTTTACCCCATGTGTTTAATGCAAAAATATTTAAATAAATGGCGCCAAAAAGGGGTGAATGTGTGTGTGCATGTGTACTGCTTTTGATAAGATTACTTAATTGATTTTTAAAACGGTTAATTGGCCGCCAATCAATCAATTAACATGTAATATGGGACACACGCACACACATCTGTTTGCCTCGGCAATATATAAATACATAAATAATTTACTCGCCTAAATAAATACAAATACAAAGAATACGTGTTTGCACAACAAATACAACAAATGCGAAGTCAATAAACTTTTTGTATGACAAAAGAGTGTTCGAAAATGCCGCAAAAAAGAGAAGGGGAAAAGCTTTTCAAATTCATATGTATACGAAAAAGCTTTCGAGAGCCCAATGTGTGTGCGTCGAGTTTTTTGCAAGTGTTTTTCAAAAATATTTTCAGTTTTGCCACAAAAAATGTATCAATCAGCCGTTGTTTCCCACAGTGTATGCAAAAATGCCGCGAAGATTCAATTTCAATCGCCAATTCAGTTCGATGCAAAATCAAATGCAAATGGAAAAGCAAGAAATCAAAATGAAAATAATGGCAGGTGTGGTTGTTCAAGTGCCAGAGATAATGCCAACGATATTTTCTATATCGAAATCGTGTCCAAGTTCAAGTGGTTGTGACCCTCGCATCGAATCAAAATCAATATCATTATCAGCCAGAGATTGACGACGGGATGCGGCCTTTTCCACCGACCATGTCACGAACTTACACGAATGATTGCAACGCATTGGTATGATTTCGTATTAAGTTCCACCTAAAAACAAACACTTTGCCTTGCCCATTAAGAACTTGTAAAATATCTATTGTATAATGTCTCGTGCAAACCAAAAACAGAGTGGCTCTCTCAGCTTGGAACCCCGATCTCTAGACCCATAGCTAATCCTATTCTTCGATTCGCAGATGAGATCGAGAATCTCAAACTGGAGCAGGTCCGCATGGGTCAGCAATGCGCCGATGCCCAGCGCCGCGAGAAGATCCTTATGCGCCGGCTGGCCAACAAGGAGCAGGAATTCCAGGACTATGTGGTGGGTAGACCTTTGATTCCGTTTAAATTCTTAAATATAAATGGTTATCCCATGCCTTTCAGAGCCAAATTGCCGAGTACAAGGCCCAACAGGCGCCAACTGCCTTGGCCTTGCGCACTGCCCTTCTTGATCCAGCGGTCAATCTACTTTTCGAAAGGCTCAAGAAGGAGCTGAAGGCCACCAAGGCCAAGCTGGAGGAGACCCAGAATGAGCTGTCCGCCTGGAAATTCACCCCGGACTCGAACACCGGCAAGCGCCTAATGGCCAAGTGCCGGCTGCTTTACCAGGAGAACGAGGAGCTGGGCAAAATGACCTCCAACGGCAGACTGGCCAAGCTGGAAACCGAGCTGGCCATGCAAAAGAGTTTTAGTGAGGAAGTCAAGAAGTCCCAATCGGGTACGTTCATTTCCTAAGAGATCTAAAAAAAAATTGTATTTGGTTTATCTTTAAAGTCCTTTAATATCCAGTAGATTCAATTAAAATTTAGCAAGACAAGAGCTTAAAATAAATTGTAACGAACTTGAAATGCACTATAGACTTAACATACTTTTTTCTTGCTTTTTAAACTACACCTGAAGAAAGATTGTCTAACGTAAACACATTAATTTTCAGAATTGGATGACTTTCTGCAAGAGTTGGACGAAGATGTGGAGGGCATGCAGAGCACCATTCTGTTTCTGCAGCAAGAACTGAAAACCACGCGTGATCGCATCCAATCGCTGGAGAAGGAGAACGCCCAGCTAAAGCAAGTTAGCGCCAAGGATGAGGTAGTAGCACCGGCAGCCACCAATGGCGGCACCAACAAGCCGATAAGCAAGCTTGAGACCATCGATGAGAACGCCTGCCTGACGAGTAACAACCCATCGAATCCCGACAGTTACAATGGCAAAATTAACAACGAACAGATCATGGTCGTGCCACAAGTGCCGCCAGCGGATGAAAGCAGCAATGGCAACGGGAATGCAGCGCGATTGGCGCGCAAGCGTAACTATCAAGAGGAGGAGACCACGCCAGCGGTGATTGTGGTGCCCACGCCCACACCAATCGGAAACAACGTCCAGGAAACTGCGCCAATCAGGGAAGTTAGTGCTCCTCGCATCCTGCCGCCCAAAAAGTCCAAGTTGCGGGCCATTGCCTCGAGACGCAACTCGCAGTTGGAGGAGGATCATCAGCCCGTGACGACTCCAGTGGCCGTGCCACTGATCGTGGACAACGCTGTTGTCGGAATGGCCAGTGAAGAGGCGGCCGCAGCAGCGGCAGTGACCAACAACAACGCGGAAACGGGAGCAGGACTGGCAGTGGGAGCTCCCGCTGATTCCACCGATGCAGCTGCTCCAGCAGCACCGGCCCGCATCCTGACGCGACGTCGGTCGGTTCGGATGCAGCAGAACGGCAGCGGAGCAGTCGACTACTCAACCTAAGCGCTGGCGATCCTTTTTCCAAAAAAGGATTACGAGTGATGCACACTTTATGATTTCGTCATATTGATCGTTAATTCCTGACGTTTACTTTTGTGAATTGAGATTTCAAAACAGAGAGAGACTTCATCTAATAATTGTAACCTATCTATTAGATTCTTTTATTTTTTTAACACATCGTCTTGTAAAATACGTTTATTATTTTGTTTGCATGCAGAATAAGCATACATAATACGCGAATTAATTAGAAGTCACTGCTATACATACGAAATACATTATGTAGAACTGTGTACCACTTTAGCACACATATTTACAAAACATATTGTCGAGCTAAACGATAATGCTAAAACTGATTA